ACCGGTCAGAGTAAGCCGCATCAAACAAAATAATGGAGTTAATAGTGTTTCGGGGACACTTACAGGAAGGAATATCGAGTCGAGTACTTTATCTGACTCACAAAGCATTCTATGTGTAGAATTGATGTAGCTACTCTTGTTAACACGTTGAGCGCCATGGCGGTCAAAATATGAGCCACAATACCAGCTGCGGCCATCAACAGTTTTCCGTGGATAGACAAATGGCCTATACATCTTTTTGCAGTATTTTACGTATAATTGGTTAATGTATTATAACGTTTGCCACCAGACATAGAAGCGGCCAAATGAATTACCATTAATATATTTTTTTTATCTTAGTTTGGTGGTAGGAGTCTATCTAAGTATCTACACATCTAGATGAGCGAGGCGTATGCAACTTGTCTCAAACAAAGAAAAAAATAAAGAATTATTTCATCATGTTTTGATTCGAACTTTTTCCGATATTAATTATAGAAATCCGAATATTCCATTACTGGGTAGTAAAAAACCCTCACAATTTTTTCTTTGTGATTTTACAAAAATTAAAACATTAGCAAGAATCCATTTGAGTGAGCACTAATAGATATTGATTGAAATGTGCAAATGGATTTTACATAAACCATACATCACATCTAAGTATTGTATCATGAGATTGATATATAGTTATGTGCATGAGGTTCATAAAAAACTGCTTTATGTATCAGCATCATTCTATGTACTCATCACTATCTATCTATATACAACTATCTATACATTACGCTACCATGAGTTGTTTGACTCCATGTTTGTGTCATTAGATTTTGATATCTAAGTATATCTAAGTATATATAAATATATAATTTAAAAACATGATGACAAATGCACATATCATTTTATTTTATATAAGTACCTAAATGTGAACTGTAACTATGTACTCATAATAAAATTTTAAAATATAGTTTCATATTATGATCTTCTAATTCATATATGGTGATGAAACACAACTATTGCAATAATCTAAGAAAATAACACTTAATACCAAACACAGTAGACAATTGCAGGAAGCAACACAATCAAAGAAATATTTCTACACTCATTTTATTTTATTTCATTCAGTTGTACCTACTTTATTCCTTTCAATCTAATGACACTTTTTCATCTTATTCATGCCTTATCACTCATCCATTTCAATGAGAAGTGCTATATTGGGAGATTCAATTCTATACCTACTTCAAAATTATTGAGCTCCATTTTATACGAGCTTATACTAAACTTGCTATGTACATGTTTGTGAAGAGTGATCTTGCCATTTGAAATTTTAAGCATTTATATCTTTCTATTAACTGATATTTTGTATATGTATGTTTACCTTTTAGTTTGGATGACCATAAATGCTAAGAGCTGTATGGTTAAGCTAAAAATCCATAAAAGTTAAATACTTCTTTTATTTTGAATAAATTTGAAAAAAAAAATACATATTTTTAAATTAAATAAAAAATATATACATTCCAAAGTATTGTAAACAACAATTAATACCTTTTCAAGGGATGGTGTTGGTAGTGGTTGTGGTAGCGGTACCGTAACCATTTCCATATTTTAGAATTCACTTTAGCAGATTAACGGAGTGTGTACAAGTCGAACAGAATACAAGTCTAATTTACAAATGAAAAGGCTATTAGCGTAATACCATAACTATTATCAGTACAGTTGCAGAATGCAGTTACGGTGATTAGAGCTGATCATGATATGAAGTGTTGCGTGGAAAATGTTTCAGAACTACATTGATATGACCAATACAATGTGATACCAGCAAACATAGCAGAATATACTCATATTAGTATTTTTTAGTTATGAATAGAAATGTAATTAAATATAAATTATTCTGAGAAAAAGACTATGAGATAATGCGCTGACATGCCTCAATATTGTACAACTAGCTTAATTTAAAATTAATATTGTAATAATGTAATTCAATTTCAATAAGTTCAATCTTAAAACTATAATCTAAAGTCTTAAATTAAACTAACCTTGATCATCTTTATTTATTCCAATAAACCACTCTTTACAAAACAATCACTCCACTATATAATTTATAGATAACACAAGTAAGATGTGTACTAAGCAACAGTTGAAGAATTACTGGCTTTAATACTTCAATTTGAAGTTATATATCTACTAATAATAAATAAATCATTAGTAGTATCCCCAAACGACTTCTTTGTTACTAATAAAGAATTATCTAATTATCAATTACTAGTTAAATAAAGGTAATTATAATTCAGAATAATGATCCTTAAGACTTTTTAATGTAATGTGTTCAAAGTAAACACTGGTATAATTTTACTAATGTAGAGTATTTACCATGAATAAAAAAGGAATATTGGAATTAATTGATAAAGTTAATGAATTAAAACTTGACTTCTTTGTTTGAAAAATATAATAAAAACAAAACAATGCAGTTATGCTGAAAAAATATTAACAATGAGAATCCTAAGGTAAAAAGTGTTTTGTTTGAAACTTTAAAAGATGGTTAGTATAGTAAAAAGATGTTCAGATATGAATTTCCAAGATAAAAGTGAAGAAAATTATTGTAATGACTACAGATATAAACGTCTGTTTTGATGTCACGGTTTAGATAACCCTAACACGAAAATTTAAAGCTGATGATTATTATACGTATTTAACCTCAAAATTAATCTAATATTAGCTTAATTTCTGGTCTGTTTTAATTTAAAGAGAATTTTTAGTATTTATTATGTTGAACACTTACCCTGGAAAATGTTCTCAAACGATTGATACGAGGATTCGATGGCACATTATTCAGGGACACCTTCGACATATTTCTGCAGTTATTTTCTTACTTCTTCACACAACAACAGAAAATAGAACGTTTAGTCACTTTCCAGCTGGCACTGGCTGGTTTGAAATTACACCAAGTTCAAGGGAAAACAGATGAATATTACACCTTACTTTACAATAACAAAAGTTTAATTTTGACAGTACAAATACGAATTGCACAATCCCATATTTAACAGTCGAATTATTGAATTAACTATTTTAATATATACACCGATCGATATTAATTGTGCTATGATTTTTACAAATAGAGGTAACTTATTTAATTAATTATGAGAACTTAGAAAAATAAAATAAATTCAATTTGACAGATGTGCTTACGAGTCTGTGACGTTTCGTTTCACAGTACGCACGCGGTTAGAACCGTTCTTCCTGCCGCCAGGCCGACAACTGCTAAACGTCAAACAAAAACGCGCGAAGTGCGTATGTACGGCGCGAAAATTGTTTTTGAGCGCACGTCGTCGTTACAATATATCCATATTCAATAAACTTGGTGATTAAATACTTCGATAAGCACGTTAAAAATTGCATCAACTATTAGTGACTGTGGATAGCAATCATTTTACTGTTACTTTCAGTCACTTAAGTTTATGATTAGGTATTTAGAAATTACTGATTCATAAAGGCTTTTTTAGCATTGTTTTTTAGTGTTGAAACGTATAGGTAGATACTTAGACGCTGTTCCTAATAGTTATTTACTACCGTGCAATTTTTTACGCACAACTTCGTAGACCTACGTGGAATTTAGAACCTATAATATTTTTAGGTAGTTTAATTACTACCTACGTAATTAAACGAATGTTGAATGAGCAGGTAAACAGCGTTTTATTTATTTATTATTTATTTATTTTGTATTACAAATGTAGCCTTATCTTTTGTGCTAAGCCCCACAAAACCATTGTAATGGTTTGACTGTGGGGTCAAACCATTACAATGGTTTTGTGTGGTTTATTTTAGCAAGTTACCAAAAGATAGCCCGAGATTTGGTATGAGCATGATATTCTATTTATAATCCGTTCTCTCATTGAATTATACGGATTCATGACGAAGGGTAATTTTGGATTGCTCCCGTTTAGGCGTAGGTCGTAAAATCCTACTTTTGTTTTATTTCCTTGACGTCGAAGTATGGAACAATTGGTTAGATAGGATATGGTTGTCTTCTAAGTAAAGATATCTTTAATCTTTATTGTTAACTATAGGCCATAAACCAAAAGTATGCACTCACACATAATGTACTAGGTAAGGCACCCAACTAAATAAGGTCTAAAGTACATGCGTCCTAGTCACGTAAAAAAAATAGTTTATGACTAAAGGAGCAAAACTTACCAGGTACCAAAGAATATTTTCTTATGTCGCTCACAATTCTTTGTTCACTACCTTTATCGTAAAATGTCCCTTTGAGTGCCTGAAGAGTTTTTGAATTAATTAGAAACTGAAATTGTCTGAATAAGTGTAGGTACTATAAATACTACATTAGTCGGATTTTTTTAAATTACTTTATTAAATGACGTAGGAATTAAAAGTGGTTGAGACTGTACCTACTACGGTCCTGACGAGTTACATTCGATTTTAGTTGAGTTTTTCAATTCATTCATCCTTTGTTGTAAAAGGTACCTACTAAAACGTTTTTTAATCGTAATAAAACGATGTCTAACTAGCCACACAATAAAACCGTCCACACGTGACATTCTTATTGATTTTCTTTATCTGCAGAAAGAATAAAATAAAACAGCTGCTTACCAAGCGACGATTTGGTGATGAATTAAAAGTTATGACATAAGTAGGTAAGTACAAAGCTTAGGCGATTTGAACTTATATGAAGTTTGTAAAAAAAGTATTTATAGACATAGGTAATTATGAAACAATTGTTCTACAAGCGATAATAAAATCTATAATTACGTATTAAAAAGTTTTAGCTTAGTAATCATTGAAATTTTAGGAACCTTTGGAACACATTAGTGTAAAGTTACAGAATGTACCCTTACTTATATGCCTATTACGTAAATGATTATATGAGCATATGAATGCTGAGTTATTGCAGCAATTAGCTCAGTTTTAAAGTTAAAAGCCTCATTAACATTGTACGTCTGCGTAAAAGTTTTGTGATGTGTGAATGCGGCTTATTTTATGTGTGGAAAAAGAAGAGTGCCCTGGGTACGACTTACCAATGATTTTTCCGTAGGATTAACACGAATGCGTGGCTCTGAGTCTTCGTCTTCAGGCGTGCATTCGGCGCCGGCTGTTTGGCCCATGGTGGCGGTTTCTGGGCGTGTGGTGTGGGCCGAAGCGGGGCCGCGTAGAGCAGCCCGCGCGTCTGTCGCGCGTCCACTGCCGCGCCGCCTTGGCTCCTCACAATTCACACGTATGGCGGGGAAAACTATCGATAATAAGTAAATGTTAGTGAAAAACACTCGCGCTTACGTTAAAATAGTTAGGTAATTCCCATAAAGATGTTGCAGGAATATTTTATGATCGGTCATGCTCATATAAGTTCATCAATTTCAAACCAATACCGTAAAAGTATTTTAATTAAATTAGGGATATTTAATAAAGGTGTCAATATGTCAAAACCTACATATTTTATCACAAATTTTTTATCATCATTATATCATTTCCATTTACATGTTATATCATATCAAATAGTATGTAAAGTATACAAAATTAGTGGTAGATAGTTCAGTTAACTTCAGTTAGGTAATGTGACCTTATCGTTGGTTTTTAAAATCGTTTGTCTTCTGTTTAAATAAGATCTAGATAGATTTATATTTATAAATAAAACAATCGATTAGGTAATTGTAGCTCTTCCAACCTAAAATCTTCTAAATTCACTTTTACACATATCACTTAAAATGCGTTAGTCGTTATCCCTTATACATAGGTGTTCATCGATAGCGACCCATCCCTAGAGGTTGGCGCGGTCGATACAGCGAGCGCAGGTCCGCAACATACAGCTGGGACCTCTGACAGTTCGAACATGCCACTTATATGGTTGAAATGTTTAAAAAAAGAATAGAACTCGCAAACAATATTTCAACAAAAAAAAACCTATAAAAATTAAATAATTTTGCGGGAAAGGTGATCTGTCTGTCCCCTTTACACAAGGCGTCATTTTCCAGCCAATGAATAGAGGTCATATGCAAGAACAAACTTAGTGTCTACGTGTTTTAATCAGCTTTCGCGTCAAACTGTTCGACTTTAGGACTTTTAGCGATTTAATTAAATTGTAGGCACGTAAACTTATTGTTTATTAAACTGTTTTCTGCCTAATTGAATATGTCTCAGTCAATTGTTTCATGTTTTTTAGATTTTAATGTTTGGTTCCTATAAACTTACTGTATACAAAGATTTCGAAAACTTGTGTTTAGTTTACTGGACTACCGAATACGTATAGAATAACTATTCCATTAACATATCGTCGTATTCGTCGTGTCATGAAACCCGCGAAATCAATTCCCGCATGTGATAATTTTAATTTCTTCACGACAGATTAAAATGTACCTAATATTTTTTAGTAAGTATTCAATCTTGTACCTACCTAAACGTACGGTACAACCATTGTACGTATTTATTTAAAATAAAAAAACCTAGTATTGTTGAAAATACCTAAATGTACGATTTCTTCGTTTTTTTTTACTAGCCTGAAATGACCCACTGCTGGACAAAGGCCTAAACATTTCGCTTCCACACCTCTTGATCTTTCGACCGTGTCCACCAGTCTCAACGATAGGCGTCTTGGTCGTAATTTTTCAATTGTAATGATTAAATATTTGATGCAAAATTTTGTAACTAAACATTTTTATTATTCAGTTACCACGAACTAAATTAAATTGTGTTGCTCGTTTTTTTTTGTCACATTCAGCGACATCTTGTATTTAATAGCGTAACTACATATTTGAAAGCGCCATCTACAACTATTATAATTAGTAAAAATAATGAATCATAGATGGCTCTAATAGCTCCTTAACCCTAAAATGCACATTTATACTTTAAAATAAACAAATACGTTTCGTTGCAGTTGATTTAGGCAAAATTTCAAAACAAAAAATATCGTAGAATTGGTAGATGAATTAACTTTGAGACACCAACCTTAATTAAATAGGTAACCAATTTTTACGAGTTTTTTTTTAAATACCTAGGCATTAACATTGTTTAAAACATTATTCTATTAAGGTTTTGTTGTTGTTTTTTTCAAACAGCAATAAACTCATAGATATCGACATATGTAGGTAATTATCTATGAATAATCGAATTATGTAAATGAGTGTGCCTCCAAACATAGGTACCCATGCACAAAAATATACTTTCCCTAATTGCATACACAAATATTGGTATTATTGAATAAACTCATACTTATTTGACGTGGGTAGATACGTAGTAAAACAGTGGCAGGAAATTGTTTTAATCTATTCATCGAGAGTTCCATCAAACATTTAATTAGAGTAATGGAATTTTTATTTCATTATACAGTTTTACTGGGTGCTGGCTGGCAAAAAGTTTAATACAATAGCAGCTTTGGCATATTAATAAACGGACGTCCTTTCGGCAAATTTTTGCTTAGAAATGGTTAAAGAAAAAAAAATGAATTCCAAGTTAGAAAACACGCGAGTGTACAAGAAAGCCTTGTGTAACGTGATTTATTCAATAAAGCCGTTATTATTTATGGAATATCTCTATGGAATATACAGATTTTATTTCACTTCTGGAGAACTGCGGCTATGTAATCGAAAAATGAAATCATACAGCATTTTAACGATTCTCAGTTTCCTCTTTACAGTCATCGTTTCTATTGATTTCCCGGTTTTCATGTCTGGCTCTGTTAAGTCCGTGGACGTGATGGAAGAAGTTCCCGCATTTGTTGTCCTTATCCAGTTCACAACATCCACGATAACCGCCTCTTTCCTAGTCAACTCAGCCAACATCGCCATTTTCAACAATCTCGCCAAAATAGACGCAGTACTAGACGCAGAATCAATCAGTGACTACTACAAAAGGTCTCGTAGGGAAACATATGCATTTATTTTTGTTCTACTTTTGTTACATTTAATCAATATCATAATAGAATTAGTGACAGCAGAACAAATAACAATGCATGCATTGTTCGTTCTACCGTTATACTACATACAAAAGTTGGAAATAGCGGTCTTTTGTAAATACATGCTTATGGTGAAACGCAGATTAGTATTAATAAATGACCATTTGAAAGTATTTGTTCAAGAGCAGGAGAAGAAAAATAAGACAATATTCTGCGTATCGAAGAGTGTACTTAATTCCAAAGAGAAGATTGAAATTAACTTTATTGGTCGAGCTGCAGATGACAATACTAAAATACGAGATCTGGCAGCGATGTACGATGTGATTGGTAGGATTTGTTCTATGATCAATGAAGTATTCAACTTCCAGATATTTATGACCCTCGTATCAACGTTTACTTATGTGGTTATAACGATATGGTTATCATTGTACTACTATCGAACGCCTGCAAGTCATTCTGGAGAGCTGATAAACACTGCTATTTGGTGTTTCAGTGCAATCTATACTGTCGGTGCTATGTCGTTTGCTTGCGAACGATTGCTTTTAGCACGTAATGAAACTAGAGTACAAGTAAACAAGATTATAATGAACTATGATTTGCCGAATCCAATGAGGGTGCAGGCTAAAGCGTTCATGGAGCTAGTTGAAGCTTGGTCCTTACGGATATACATTTACGACTTATATTCCGTTGATATAACTTTGATGTTAAAATTCATTAGTGTTGCCACCACGTATTTGATTGTCATTATTCAAATTTCACATTTCGTTTAAATCAAGAGCAATTTGAAAATATTAATCGTCTATTCTTATTTGTCATGTACCTACTATGATTGCTTCTTCAATAAAATACTTAGCAAAAATATTTTTCCTTTTTTTTAAAAAAAACTTCCCCTTCTTCTATTTACTCCCATGTCGTGGTTGCGTTTACAAACGTGTAATTTCAGATACACATCACACCCAGACCAAGAACAGCAACTTGTGGATCACACAAAGAGTAGTTCCGTGCAGGAATCGAACCCGAAAAATTGATTATGTTTTATTTCCCTGTTATGATTGGCAGCATATTCAAAAATATTACTGATTAAGTACTAAGTACTGTTCATTTGTACAGTTTTATTATTCATGTTTTTTCATTGTAAACTGCTAAATCAATCAATAGATGAAATATGTAGATAGATTAAGATCTAACGTTTTTTCTAATTGACACATTAATTATTAGAATGAAAAATAAACAATGGGAAATGAATTTACTGTTTGTCCGTTTCTATAGTTACTAGATGCAAAACATTATTTTGTTTAAACTTCATAACGACCCTTCGGAATGACCCTGTACGCTATTATGTAGTAATAAAATAAATAAACACACATGTTTTATTAGAGACTTAATACCTATATTTGATAATCTGTTTTAGCCATTAATTATTACTGCCTACACATGTATATCCTTGCAATAAAATAATGATTCTATACTTATAATATTATAAGAGTTTGTTTGTTTGAACGCGCTAATCTTCGGAACTGCTGCTTGGAATTGAACAATTATTTTTGTGTTTGTTAGTCCATTAATCGGGGAAGGCTATAGGCTATAAAACATCACGCTATGATCTGCAGGAGCTAAGTAGCGGGTGAAATCGCGTGAATTAAGTAGCTAGTGTCTATGTAACAGTGACCAGCTAACGCTGGACAAATAGCAGTAACCTCTCTCGGAAGCGTTACTGAGTTGCCTAATCCACCTCAATATGTGATTTGGGCTTGTTGGTGATGATTGGTTGATAAATTGAAGTAAATCCCGTCATTCACGATGCAGGTCTTTGCTCATCATCGCCATATTACCACCTAACTAAAATGAAGAACTATATCTATCTTCTTAAGGCTGTGATTCCATTGAGCAAAGAGCAGCAGAGCGGAGAAGAGCTGTACCTAGATCCACCAATCATGTGGTTCGAAATCCACATTCGTGAAGCAGAATGGAAAGAAAAGATTTAAGTAAAAAAGGTTTGATCCGCAACCTTATCAGTGAAATCTAAATAAGATTGATTTATTCAATTATAAATTTTTTAATTCAATCAATTCAGGCTTTTTGTATTTTTTTTTTTTTTTTTGTTTTGGGAAAATCATCAATTGACTCCTCCCGGGTTGAGGCGAAAGGGCGAGAGGAAGTGTCAGACTCTTACTGACTAATAACCCCCCCGTTCCTTCTCCTGCTCAAGGCCGAGACCGCGATTCCTCATTGTGCTTACCCCGCAACCCCGGCTAAAGCAGGCTTTTTTAAAACAACTTAAAATAATTTACTTGATTATGTATTTACACGTCTTTCCTAAATTGAATGTGGGCAAACATTCCACATACAAACTGTTCGATGGTCAACAAGAAATACATGATAACTTTAATAGTTTATCAAGCAATATCAATTTTAATAAGTGGTAATACTCTTCATTTCTTACAGTGATATGTTATGGAGTAGACGTTTAAGGAAAATTCATTGAAAAAACTGTAATTAAATAAAAAAAATAACATGAAAAAGGCAAAAAAGAGATCTAATAAAACGAACATTGAGGAGGCTGAGAGCAGTAATGAAGAAAATGGAATACTAAAAGTTATGCACACATTAAAACCTCTAATAATATCAGAATATGTGTTTGGAATATTCAAGTGTCGGATAGCAAACGGGCAATTGTTGCCGCCAAATAGAAAAATGAAAATGTTGGCTATTCTGTACATGGCAACGTACGGTTCATTGTTTTTGAAAATCTATTACGACCTAGTAGTAATAAACCGGATGAGAGGTTTGCAGGAGTTTTCCGCTTTAGTAGTGCTTATCCAATACGTTACAACATCAGTATTGGCCGGATTTCCCGTCTTTTCAAAACCATATATTCGCATCTACAAATTATTTACAGAATTGGACAACACGCTGCATGGTGAAACGCTCGACGTGTTTTATAAAAAATCACGTGGTCGGAATTATTTATATTTATTCATACTTTTTACCTACAACCTTTTGAATTTATTGTTAGATATTTTCACTGAAACCAACTATACATGGGCAATCGTTGTATTTCACATATATACGTTTCAAAAGTTAGTTGTCTTGTCGTTTTTTAATCATATCGAAATGATTACTTGTAGGCTGGAAGTGATTAACAATTGCTTAAAAACTTTTGTATTTGAACAAGATATTAAACAAACCACTATATTTTTTACGAAAAGTAAGAAGAAAGAAATGGAAAACAAAATAAATTTCATTGGACGTCCTATGGAGAATAATATAAAAATTCGAGAATTGGCAAGAATGTATAATATCACGGGAAAGATTACTTTTCTAATTAACGATGTTTTTAACGTTCATCTGTTTTCTATTTTGGTAGCTGCCTTTGCGTACATAATAGTCACAATATGGACAGCTTTGTACATTTATCGCAGTCTTGAGTTTTCTGTGAAAGATATTGTCACTCTTGCCATTTGGTGCATTGGCGCGTTTATAAACCCTGCCATATTCGCGTTTGTGTGCGAGTACCTGCTTCGAGCACGAAATGAAACAAAGGTTTTTGTAAACAAAATAATAATGAACTACGACCTACCAAGGACGATGAGGGTACAGGCCAAAGTATTCATGGAGCTCATTGAAGCTTGGCCCTTACGTATATATGTTTATGATATGTTTTCAGTTGACATAACAATGATATTAAAGTTTATAAGTGTTGGGACGACATATTTAATTATTATTATTCAATTATTTCACTTGATTTAAATGTTATCATAGTGTAATGTAAGTTTAGGAATTTTGTAAAGGTGTTACACTAGAAGCGCATTCGTCAATTCAAGACGCGTCATAATATAAGGAAGAATTATTATAATGGAAAACTAAAATAAATTATATAAGTAAATCAATTTTGTTTTAGTTAATTTTGAAAAAACTTACAGAAGAAATATAAGCTTCTGACTGAAACATCAAGTCGTTATTACAATAATAATGTCAATCATTATGTTTGTCACGCAGACAACTTTCTTATTTATTTATTACGCATTTTCTTAAAGGAAAATACATTTACAGAAATAGAAATACATGAGCACTACATATTTCTGTCTAATTACTTAGTAAGTACGTATGGAAGAAAATGTGACGGAAATATTTATGTAGGAGGTAATACATACAATGTAGTACATAGGTACTACAATAAAAATGTTCTCTGTATAACCTCTGAAGGGATGGTAACCATGATATAGAAGAGACTGTTATCATCAACATTATCAACATGAGCCTATAACCTAACACAGAGAAGGTTTAAATATAAACTTCCATGTTTGATGAAGGCCTATTGGTCAGGTTCAGGTCAGGTCAGTCCAGATTTTCTCATGATAGTTTCCTTCATGGCTCTAATGTTGAAATAATCTTAAAAAGCACAATACATATAACTCGGAATAATTCACAATGGCTATGACTATTGAGTTTAAATGTGTTCTTATGGATCCAACCACTTAAAGCTTTTAATGATTTTTTTAAAATTCCCTATTTTAAAAAAATCATTAAACAACACGGGACAAGTAACCAAGCTAGTGGTAATAAATAAATGTTTGTGATGTGAAAATCATCAAATGACTTCTCAGGAGGGAGTGTCAGACTGATTTAATTACCGACTAAAAAAGCCCAGTTCCTTCTCCTGCAAGCCGAGGCTGCGGTGCCTTACTGCTTGATGTTATAATATTGTCATTAATAGCCGGGGATCTTATCTAAGCCCTTAAAGCTAATTTTTTTTTGTGGGTCACACATAGAGTTGTTCCGTGCGGGAATCGAACCCGCGACACGTTGCACGGCAGCCAGTTGCCCAGCTACCGCACCAACCGTGCAGTCAAAATTGTAAAGTAATATGTATTATCAACCTATATAAAATAGTAACATTGTAAGTAGGTAAAGAATGGAATCTTACCGGTTATAGGCCAAAATAACAAATACATAGAAATTACAAAAAGACACAAAGTCAATATGTATATTCTCATTCATTTGGTCACGACTACGATGAGTGAACACTTCATTATCGTAATGGAAACTTACTTAATCATTGTCACTGACTTTTATAATGCAAAGGAATCCAATACTAACAAATAGACACCCACTACCAGACGTCTTTTAAAAAAACTTTGTTGAAGCTCTCTTATTGAATTCTGATATGGAAGAAGTTAAAGAAGGCGACAATGAATCGAATGAAGAGAACAAAAACGCTAGCAGCAGCGAAAAGAAGAAAATCTTAGCCATATTTAACAATTTTAAACTAGAATATTTTATAGAATACTGCTTTGGTGTCTACAGATTTCGTTCCATAGACGGAGAACTACGCCCTCCAAATTGGAAAATGAAAGCATACGGATTTTTTATCTTCTTTTTATACTCCGCTTTGTTTTTCTGGTTAATGTTCTTTGTTCCAGATACAGAAGCTGCAAATTCATCTGAACAAAGCGACCTCATTACAACTGTGGACTCCATCCCTTTCTTCGTCGTTCTTTTCCAATATGCAGCTTTAATAGTGAGCACTAACTTTTTCAGCTCAATGAACATTCGAATGATCACTCTGCTTGCTGAAGTGGATAAGACGTTGCAATTAGAGATCTGTAGTGACTTCTACAAAAAAATGAGTTCTCGTCTCAGCAAATTCTTAATATTTTTAACTATCTCACATGTAATAAATGGCCTGGTAGACTTTATAACTGTGACTGACAGAGCTTGGGCGTTAACTGTTTTTCCTTTGTACTTCCTCCAAAGATTCGAAGTATTCGTTTTCTGTGCATACGTAATTATAGTAAACGGGAGGTTGGCGGTTATCAACAACTATTTGAAAGAGTTTAATCAAGAACAAGACAAGAAGATGGTTACAGTTTTCACTGTTAAAGACACGAAAATTAAAACAGAGAAATATTTCAACTACATCGGCCGTCCTTCAATAAGGAATATGAAAATACGCGATCTGGCAACGACGTACGATAATATTGGGGAGTTTTGCTTCATGATGAACGACGTTTTTAACTTTCAAATTTTTCTGACTTTAGTGTCCGCATTCGTGTACATTGTCATAACTATTTGGACGTCTCTTAGTTACTATCGCGCTACGACTTACAGTGCTAATACGCTGATAAATAATGCAATTTGGTGTTTTAATACAATTTGCAACGTCGCCACTATGTCTTTTACTTGTGAACGACTTCTAATTTCACGTAACGAGACTAGAATATTAGTAAACAAGATAATAATGAACTATGACCTCCCGAAGACGATGAGGGTGCAGGCTAAAGCGTTTATGGAGCTGGTCGAGGCGTGGCCGTTAAGAATTTATGTATATGATATGTTTTCAATTGATATTAAGCTCATGTTGAAGTTTATTAGCGTAGCCACCACATATTTAATTGTAATTATACAGATTTCTCACTTTGTTTAAAATACTATTGATATGTATTAATTAGTCCGTCTTGGACTCACTGTAAGCGCTATGTATTCTATGAACCATATCATAAGTGTGTTAATAAAATGAATTGCACAAATTCTAGTGAGGTCTCAGTATTATGTTTGGGTGTGTGTCTCAATTTGTGAGTAAATAAACTTTATCGTTTAAAAATGTTTTTTTATTTACTGATCTGTTTCATACTATCAAATAAATTCAACTACAAAAATAACTAAACTTATTAAATAAGAATAAATTGCATTTTTGGGTTTGATTCAAAAGTGGGGTTAATGAATAATGAAATGTACCTATTTCACATTAACCAATTAAATTAATTATATAAGATTAACCATGGCATTTCGTTAGCCTCGTTAAGTAGAAAATAATTAAACATTACTTAACGACCAAAAATTGGTTATTATAACATTCTTAACACAAATATGCATTAAATTCCTTAAAAAAAATACAGAAGAAATCTATGGCGCATTACTACATATTTTTTTATTTCAATATCTTCAATTGGTTTTTCTCGACTATTATAATATTTCTAATCATATAATAACAATCCCGTTCCTTCTCCTGCTCCAAGCCGAGGTCGCCCCGAGGCCTAATTGCCTTTAGCCTACGACCCCGGCTCCTGGCCAGTAATAACAAACTGAAAACGTCTCATAGTTGGTTGTGTCTTTCTTAACTCTATCTACCCTAAAAGGTTTTTCGTGAGGGGAATACCATTAAATGACTTGTCCCGCCAAAAGACGAAGGTAGGGAGTGTCAGATTCCTACTGACTAAATACCCCTCCGCTCCTCTGGGCCAATGCCTTAAACTGGCTTACCCTAAGTTATCATTTCGTTAGGCTTTAAAAACAATAAGAAAGATTTCAAAGTAAACAAAACCTTTCCTAAATCGAATCAAGACAAATAATTTACGTACTCGTACCTACATAAAAAATAAGTTGCCATGAACATACCTACTACGTGTAAAAGAAAAACTCATTAGTATTATTAGAGTAAGCTATGACACGTAAGAGGTTTAGGTAGTATGAATATTTTATGTAGAAGCCAGACTTCATTAATATAATGGAACATAATATAAATAAGATCTTGACAAGAAAATAATATTAGTCATATTCCAGTACCCAACTACGTACGTAACACGTTACAGTTATTTTAAAGCCAAAAAAATTGAGGCATCAATCACCATGGAAGCTGAAAAAGAAGATAAAAAGAAATCTCCAGGAGAAAAGAAAAAAATAGCAGATGAAAGTGAGAAACAAATCGTAGAATCAATAAATATAATCATATTCATCGAATACATTCATGGCATTTTTAGATTCTCTCTCGTAAACGAAAAACTTCGTACACCGGATTGGAAAATGAAGGCTTTTACTGTTTTTATTATAACAGCTTTTGTAGTGTTATTCACTACTTACTTCGTACTCCCAACTGATATCACGCATTATGACAATGAAAATTATGTTCAGACTGCTGATAAGGTGCGAGTCATCATACTCTTCATCCAATACGCAGTTTGTACTTTCACTGCTTCTTTCTTGGTCAACTCCAACAACATTCGCATCATCACTACCCTTGCTAACTTGGACAATATGTTGCAAGTCGAAAAGTCCAGTAACTTCTACAGCAAGTCGCGTTGGGAAACCTATAAGTACATGGTCCTTGTCGTTATAAGTCAACTGGCTACCAGCATTTTAGATTTTGTTGCCATCGGAGATGTTGCTTGGGCAATAGCAGCTACGCCCTTAAACTTTATCCAAAAACTAGAAATAATAACCTTTTGCAAATACGTGGACTTCTTAAGACGTAGACTGCTAATGATCAATAGTTATTTAAAGACATTTGTCGATGAGCAAGATCAGGAGACTACTACAGTTTTTACTATACGATCTAGGACGATGGAAACTACAGAAAAGTTCAATTTTATTGGACGTGCGTCGGATACTAATACCAAAATAAGAGATACAGCGAAGATGTACGATGTTATCGGGCAAATCTGTACCATGGTTAATGAAGTGTTCAACTTTCAAATCTTGACAATCCTTATGAGCACTTTTGCCTTTATTATTATTATCATGTGGACCTCTCTCTACTATTACCGATCAGCCATAAGTGATTTGAGCCTACTGATGAATGTTATAGTATCTTCATTCTTTTGGATTTGCTACGTTGCTATCATGTCTATTGCCTGTGAACGACTGCTTCTTGTCCGCAACGAAACGAAAATTCTTGTAAATAAGGTGATCATGAACTATGATTTGCCGAAGACAATGAGAGTGCAAGCAAAGGCATTCATGGAACTTGTCGAAGCTTGGACGCTGCGTATCTACATTTATGATATGTTTTCCGTTGACATTACTTTAATGTTGAAGTTTATCAGCGTTGCAACCACTTATTTGATTGTTGTTATTCAAATATTCAACTTCTTTTAAGTTTCTTTTTTATCTTGCACTTTAGTATTTGCTGTTTGTATGTGAGTATTGGTACGAATTTTTAAATAAAAATATTGTGTTCCGAACTTTGTTTTTATTTTAAACTTAGTTTACGATCACAGGTGTTTACAAAATTGAATAATTAATACAAGTTGAGAAACAAAACCTAATTACAATTTTTCAAGTTCATCAATAGGTAATACGTCAAAAAGTCGTTTGACGTTTTTCATTACAGATTGAACGCCATATTCTACCATTGGAGTTCCAAATTCTTCTGCCACCATTTTCCAATTGCTATTCATAAAGTCGAGTACAGCGTTACCTGAGAAAAAGAAAAAGTTCAAATAAATTTTATGTTTTATGTGGACAAAAAAGAAGGAAACTATAGTTACTTGATAGACAAGACATTAGTTGGTCACGTAATATAGAAACATTCTAAGTTCTTTAAATAAAAAGACAGTCAAATTAAATTTTGTTCGTGAATTGCTAGACCAAAACTAACAATATCTTACATACGTTACTGAAGACTTAAACAATTATAAGAATACTCACTCATTTCAGGGCTTCCCTTGAACAGGTTCGTCATGCTGTACATGACTCTTCCATCATAACCATGTTCGATTCTGGAATCCTTTATATCGAAGTACCGACGTCCGTCTGACCTTACAACTGACCCCAGTTGTATAAGACTACGCAGTTTAAGGTTTCCTAAAAAGTATAGGTATAAAATAAACTAAGGTTGCTATTGAGGAAAAACCTTCATGCAAAATACGTTTGATAAAGGCAAATTTTAAGTTATTTTCGTATCATTTTATGAATATGTCTGTAACTAATTAACAAAAGCAGAATGATTAACCGTTTATACATGCTTGGAAATTAACAGGCAACTAACTTGATTTAAGGGGCAACCGATAAAAATTGGTTATTTAAGGCAAAATATAATGATGTTACGATAATATCGTATATATCTTAGAATGTAAAGCGAAACTTACTGCACTTAATAATGGACTCTCCATCTCCATTGATAGGGAACAACAGAAGCCTTCCAGAAGACCTGTACTTTCCTTTGATGGTAAGATTGCAATGCATCTGCGTCTCAAATAAACCTCCTCCATACCTGTAATTGAAATAAAAATACATTAATAATCCGACAGAGTATCACCGATCTATATAAAGGCAGGATAAGTTAAATATTCTCATTCATACTAGCTTCTACTAGGGGCTCCGCCTGCATTGCCCGGATGAAAGTAGTTAATGTATTATTCCAGAGGAATTTGATATTGATAAATGAGAATGAGTACAGAGATAGATTCAAAATACATTCAGCAGATTGTACGTGAATGAGCAAAAAACACTTATCTTTAAATACACAAATTTTCACGTTTATAATGCAAAAAATAAACAAACGAGTAAGCTTCGGTTCGTCTCATAACACGGAGTTTAAAAAGAGAATAATAGTCATCGCCAATTTAATTGTGCTTCACTCTTAAAGTCGTTTAGTTACAAAAAATATATTGTGTAGAAAACTAGTTTTACCACAAATGTAGATCTTCAGCATATAAAATACTTAAGTGGTACAAAAATGCTTACCTAGCATAATCGACGTTGCATGTCTTCAAACCTTTAGCGTAACCATTGCTAAATGCTATGTCGATACCACCAGGTAATTTCAATTGTAGTTTCTTCAGTTCATAAGGATCCAAAGACTCAATGCCCAAGTCAGGAATCCCGTCGGCGATGGTAGGTAAGGCTGCTTGCACTGTTTTTCTTAAACATTCTGGTGATAGGTCTCTGCACGGCCTTCTGAATGATACTGCAAGTCGTGAAAACGTTTTAGAAATACTTAATAAAAATAGCTACATTTCTAAAATTTTGAACTAGAATCAATAGCACGGTATACTTCGCGTTACTACAAAGCATTTTGATAAATATGTCGATAACATGCCGATACATAAATCTAGAAGCTCTTGGTTTTAAAGTAAATTTCTTCCCACTCAAGAAATAGTAGCAGTAGTTAAAACGCATAGAAAACGAAGAGAAACTTACTTGTATAAGCCGACGATAATCCAATAACCGATGCTAATGCAACACTGTAAAACAACACGTCACCACCCATTTTCTCCAAAATTAATTTCAATAGGTACAGTCCAAATTAAGCTAAGAACTCTACGAGAGTAAATTTTCAACTGATAATCCTAAAACTGCCCTTTCAATTTATATATAGATACAAATGAAATGCAATTAGTCTTAATTTGCGCTAATTTCACTAATGATACCATAAACTAATTTAATGTTACTATGAGTAATATGGGTATTGCAATATGCTGCGTTAAATAAAAATGCGTTTTAAGTCTAATTAGTCTTTATTCAGGAAAATATATGTTTGTACTACTTCTACCTTCTTCTCTTTCTTTGTCAGATTGATCATGGTCAGGCTTAACTTTGTCAGGTTTTTCTTCGTCAGATATTTTAGGCTTATCCGTTTCAAGTTTGTCATTATCATGCTTATCTTTATCAGACTTATCTTTTTCAGCCTTATCTTTTTCAGATTTATCTTGTTCAGACTTATCCTTTTCAGCCCTGTGTTGTCCAGACTGATTTGAATGAATTGCATGGCCTGGACCAAACCTACTATCTAAATCGAGATCTTCATCTTCATCGTCAGGATTAATTGGTTTTTTTGTTGTAGGTGGTGATTTCGTTCCAAAAATGTCATTTAGCACATCAGGTGGAATAGTAAAACCTAGCGTTGTAGACCATCTGGGAGTGACCTTCGGGGTCACTGTTGGCATTGTAGGCCTTGTAACTGGTGGAACATAGGTAGTTGGTTCAGGTTTCAAAGTTTGGGTCACGTCCTTACTGCCGTCAATATCTGGAGTGGTAGGTCGGAGATCGAATTCGTCGGAACATCTGGATTTATATCTGAATTTTACATCTGAAACAAAGGAACCAAATTAGTGAACTACAAAAATGTTTTCTAAAAACGTTTTCTCTTTGTGTTATTGAAATTTAACGCTTCGACTTTCGACATTGAAGTTAAATATAAGAAGGGAATGAGTCTAATTTTTTACAAGATACCCTCGTTTACTTACCAACACCACAATATTTAGAACATTCCAAATTTCCCATATTAGTGTAAGTAAGACCGTCTGTCCCGCAGACGGGATCGTATTCAGATGTGACGGGGCAATTCCGTATGCAAGTCAAGATATGAGGAGGCAGAGTGGATGGAGGAGGTTCAATTGTAGTTGGTGATGTTATTGGTGGCGGTGTTGGCTCAGAGGAACATGGAGAGAATTTAACTGCCCACACATCTGAAACAAAAAGATACATTTAAAATATCGAAATATTAAACTATACTAATATTATAAAGAGGTAAAATTTGTAAGTTTGTATGGAGGGGGTAATCTTTGGAACCGCTGCGCGGATTGCCAATATTCTTTCACTGATAGATAGCTACAATGTTCCTGTGTGCTACAGGTTATAAGACATCACGCTACGATCAAATTGAGCCGAGCAGCGGGTGATACTGCGTGAGATTAGCTAGTACGTATATAAAGAAGTGGTTACAAAAGGCAGTGAATAAGGAAAAAAAATAATTACCAATTCCACACATTTGAGCACATAACAAATATCCAGGATTCTTGAATGTAACCCCATTTGTTCCACAAACAGGGTGAAATTCTTGTGTTAGTGGACAATTTTTAATACATCTGTGAACATCTGGATCTGGGATGACTCTGCCACATGGGTTCTTTGTTGGTGGTGGCACTGTTGGTGGTGGCGCTGTCGTTGGTGGATTTGTTGTTGGGGGAAGTGTTGGTGGTGGATTTGTTGTTGGGGGAAGTGTTGGTGGTGCAACTGTCGGTGGCGGCGTCGTTTTAGGCACGAAACCACAAGCAATACACGCTTTGTCACACAAAACTTGGACATCTGTGGGAAAACAATCGACATTAAATTAACTCCACGGACATTTGTTTAGGAAATTAAGTACTGAATACAACAACTTTTGAAATTGCTACATTTCTTAGAGATAACATTTACGAAAATCTTATTTTAGAAAAACTCACCTTGACCGCAATTTTGAGCGCATCTCAATCGATCTATGTTCATGTAAGTTACTAGGTCTGAACCACAAACAGGTTGAAATGTCGAAGTGATGCGACAACTCTTCATGCAATGTTGGAATTGGGAGAAAGATGTGGTTCGGCCTACGGGAGTTGTTGGGCGAGATGTGGTTGCCGGGGTAGGTGGTCCACCATCATCGATGGGCGGTGGGCATACAGACCTCCGTCTAATGCTTACATCTAAAATAGAAAATGATTTTTATATGGCACCCAGATTATTTATATTCATTATCGAAATAATTGTACTAAATATAAAAAATAAGTATGATAACTTTTAAACAGTAAAATAATAAAATATTTTTTGTCAAATAGTTTGTAAAACAGTGAAGAGTCAGAGCACATCTACATTGCTTAAAAATCTAGATGAGCGATGAGAGGATGGATGTTATATACATGTTATTTATGCACGTGGTATTTTAGAATTTCTAACTGAGTAAAAAACAACCACGAAAATTCATACGAAATACAATGCTGATCTAGATGGAAAAAATGTGGTAGGAGTATTTTATTATTTCAACTTACTGACTCCACAACTCTTGGCACAGAACAGCCTCCCTTCATTAGGATAAGTTTGTCCATCAGTACCACAGACAGGATTAAACTCAGGCGTCGAGGGACAGGCTTCTATGCAACTTTCAACTTCTGGTGATATGGTAGTAAAACCTTCTTCTCCATCCGTAGTGGTTTCAGGTATGACTTCAGTTGTCGGTTCCCCTGTCGGCCGTGTCGGCCATACGGGTCCTGTAGGCCATGTTGGGTTTGTGGGCCACGCAGGTGGAGCTTGTTTTTTATGTGGAGGTTGAGGATCAGGATGCATAGTAGGATTTATTAAAGGTACTGTTCTTGTAGGACGAGCCTTTTCTGTGGTCAAAGCAGGAATGGTTGGTGGCTCTGTAGCAGAAGTGAATGGAGGATGATAGGTTGTTATCGGTGGTTCTTTTGTTGATGGCGTCGGTGGTTTTGTTTTATCTTTTGATTTGTCTGGCCTTCCGCAGCTGTAAAAGAAGTATTATAAATTTAAATTAGAATAAGGACGTATTAAAATTGTTCAAATCTTTTTTTGAATTTGTTTTTTTTTCAAAATATATATTTTTTTTATTATTAAATATTTAACAATAATGGTAGTACTTGCTATATGATCCAATTAATTAATTACTATGTCGTTATTTTAATAGTACGAGTAGTTGTGTCGTTAAACTGTTAAGGGATTTCTGTTAATGGCAAATCCACTCAATAGCCAACGCCAATTTAAAACTCATATAAAAAGAAAAACATTGGTTTGTTTAACTATCCTCGGAATTTTAATTCCATTCCAGATTTGACAATTTCGGTGTTGCAACGTTATGACACGTAATAAATATTGACGTTGCGAAATTATTCGATATGGAAATCGAATATTTCTGAATCGATTCCTCTCGTTTATAAATTTACTCTCGTAAACTAAGTTTATCAGGAAATAAAATATTTTTGAACCGATAATTTAGTTTTGACAATTAATTAACGATCTGAGACTTTTCTTTTGTAATTGTGTGTGAAATTAATAAAAAATGTGATCATGAAGGAACGTGACAAATAAAACAGACATTTTATAAATTGTCACCGTCATCGCGATCGCTATCGCTATTACTTTATGTAAATACTAAATGTATTTATTATGAATTGTGTCTGTGATATTTATTGTCAATTTACATATCTAGCTTATTCATTTTTTCCTCTTCTTTGAAAACATGGGATACACATTTAGACCATTCGGTCGCCGTAATTTTTTGAATGCCTTCCTGAAACTGATTCACTGATTGTTTATCGATTTTTGTGTTCATCACTACACTGTTATATGTGGTATCATTATTTCACAAAATGACAGTGGTCAATGTCAAATCAGGAATCGAATTAAAAGTCTGACTATAGACTTTAAATTCCGATTGTTTCGCGGAGTCACCGATGATTAATTATTAAAATGATCCACAACAATTACCTAGATCCTTTACAAGGTTTGTACCAATCATCGTCTGAATCATATTTTTTAAAGCCGTGTTCATCAGAATCTTCAGGTCCACTGTCATTTTCATCGGAATCTCCCCACGTGTGTCCGTGACCGTGTGGTCCTCCAGGTCCATGTCCGTGGGGTCCTTCAGGTCCATGTCCGTGTGGTCCTTCAGGTTCATGACCATGTGGTCCTGGTCCATGACCCCAAGGATGGCCATGAGGACCGCCATGTCCCCATGGACCTCGATGACTCCAAGGACCGCCATGGCCCCAACCATGTCCATGGCCTCCGCCACCAGGCCCGTAACTATCTACGACCACCATCCCCAATACTGCAAATGCTGAATAACAAAATTAGACTTAGTTAGGTGCATATTGTTAAATTGTACTAAATAAAAATAAAAATTTAGACGTTCAATGCAATAACAGTGACTAGTTGAAAATGTTATCTATTTTTGAGTGGTATTGTATTGAGACAAGGATGACTGAATGAAGTCTAAAAATTATTTCTAAATAAGTCTGGTGATAGTGAACTCCTTTCCCCTGAATATGTATATCGAATTTAAGTTATGTAGGTTACTAATAGATATTTCAAAACGTGACATTACAGAATTAGTAAAAATTCTTCAGCTCAAAACTTCTTTATAATTGCTAACACAAAATCGGCCTTTTTAAAAAACAAGGCTTTTCTTTAGTGTAGGTCTAAACGATTGAGCTTGTCTTTGTATTTCAAACAGAAGGAAGGTGAGAATAAGATTCAAAATACAAAATATGACTCAATGGTTTTCAAACAAAAAAATGTAAATCACATTACTGCAAAGAAATGTTATTTGAAAATAAAATCACACGGTCAGTTCAGGTTAAGAAATCTACTGACAACAAAAAGAGTTGAAATTTTTTTAAAACTCGATCATTTTATAGATTAGGAAAATGTTACGTACGTGGTTACACAAATCATAGGAAAATATTTACAACCTACACTTAAAGTAGTCGCATTTAATAAAGTCGTATTTTTATTCACCCTATTAAAGTTATTTTTAACATACGTTTTATTAATCAGATAATTTAAATTTGGAAGAGGATTTCTTGCTTTGTCTTTCCTTCATGCGTTATTATTTTTGTGTACTGATGAGATGATTGTAATAACAGTGTCAAAATAAATTGCATGATTCAAGACAGTCGATGCCTATCTTAAATCATGAAATTTATCTGTACACCATAATACAAGAAAACCACTCAATAGCATTTCTTTTCTTGTAGTCTGAACCTCGTTTTCAAGTTCGAAGGAAGCTTAGATTCAGAATAATCGGCAGTTTAATGGCTGATGATGATGATGTAGACAAATGTGCTGATGATGATATTTTATAAATCACAAGATGCTTTGATCGTGCTTCACTTTAATCCTAAGCAAACAAATGCAACACGATCGATGCATCGAGCGAAATATAATTCGAAGTGCACATCTAAGTCGAATCAGATGAAAGAGAACTGAAAGTTGAAAAATAAGAACAGGTACCAGCAAAGGCAACTGTATTGCAAACGAATAAGGTAGAAAATCAATGAAAAAGTCCACGCAAGCTAGTTCGGTTGTATTATAGGTATGGTAGAGGAATACCTACGTATTGACAAATTTTTATCACATGTAAACTACCAAAAGGGAAACTACCACTAAGTGACAAATGGGTCTAATTAGTCCGTAATATCCCTGCATATCCCTAAAGAAGACCGCAGACTGTATTAAGAAGAACTGAAATACTTCTTATACCACATTGTTTCCACATAGGTAGGGGCTAAACCTTTATATGTCTACCCTCATAAATAAAAATTAGTAAATAAAATTGAAGAATACGTTTAAACAATAAATTTACTTAATAAAAAGAAAGGCGGATGTATTAAGTATCTATTTAAAAATCAGATGCACTAGATAGAATGGGCAATCTATTACATAATTGTATTTGTTATAACACGTAACCTGACTCCATTAATTATCTGCAGAATTCTCAAGTCTGCTGTGTTCTTACGAATAGACGCAAGTGTAACCAAATGGTAATGGGTGTAACTAAACAAATGGTTTAAGGTATATTTTTCATTGTTTCTAATCAATAATCGGGATGATTATTGTCATTTCCCGTCAGCGTGACCCCAGCATTAAGCTACCTCACATCTCGAAAAATCGAAATAATAGAACGGAGCCTAGACTTTGTTCACTTGCAATATACAACAATAGCAAACTCCTTGCAATTTACCTTCATGCTTGATAAAAGAAAACATAGTGAAGAAACATGGATTCGTACAAAACAAGCAACATCTTTAACCTAGGTTTAAGCCATTGAGTCCGATTTTGTATTTTGAAACTTATTCTCACTTACCCTCAATTTGAAATACAAAAACTGGCTCAATGGTTTAGACCTAGACTAAAGAAAAACCTTGTTTTATATTAAGGCTTATAATTAATGTAGCCTTGCAAGCGTGGTGAATTTATGCTTTAACCTCCCGTGGGACAACCGAGGTTGCGGGGTAAGCGCAATGAGGCACCGCGACCTTGGCCCAGAGCAGGAGAAGGAACGGGGTATTTAGTCAGTAAGAGTCTGACATGACATTTGCTCCAGTCTACCCCTTAAAGCGTTTTAAATGGCGAAGTTTTGTTCACAAAATTCAGTTTACCCTCTTTTACAAAATATCTTGTTACCTAAATATATTTAAAACAGCATTTAAATTATATGTATACTTAGTACTTATTACTCATAAATATGATGATATACATATATGTAGGTATACTAATATAACAATATAGGTTTTCCCGCGACCATACTTAGTTATATCGCTTCGATACCGACGATGAGTGCATCAATAGTATTCAATTTATAGATGACATTGATCACAAATTATGACATTTGCCAGTCAAAGAAAAACTACACACAACGTTTTGTATTTCATATTTCTTTGTGTTTCACGCGTTGCATATTTTAGTTTAATATTTTACATTTTTACTTTAATGTGTAAAAATAAAATTGGTACGTGCGCGTTAAATCCCGTAAAACAGTAAAGCATCATAGATTTTTTTGCCACTACGTTTAAGTAGGTGATTGGAGGAAAAACGCCCAAAATGCACCAGCAAATACAAATAATCACCAATGTATATCTTAAAATTCCTCGGGGGACAGAAATAAAAGACACATTATTAAGATATAGTAAAAAATAAACCGAAGGTAAAAACGTACTACCCACTATATAACGTATTCACTATTTTTAAAATACAAGAAATTATTGTGGAGGTAGGTCAGTTACCCTCGAGTGCTCATCTGTAATTACCCGTACGGTTACAATCAGGTTTAGTAATTAGATTCTCTAGCCGCTAAGATTATATAAACTTCGAACAAAACTCATTATAAAGTACTTATCAATATTAACCCCTACCTCTTATTATATAATTTTCAATCTTAGACTCTGAAACGTACGGTTCAAATTTCTATGCACGTTTGATTAGTATAAGAAATCATAACAGGTAAATCACAAATATGAATCTAAAAACTTGACCATCCTTGAATGTCTATCTTAATTTAATTAGGTTCCGGTTTCTAAGCACACATAACATTATTAGATGAGTACGAAAATAACAACAACAAGAAATTACTTACCTATATAGAAAAACGTCTTCATTTTTTCCTCTGTGGCACTCTGTAGTTATCGTAAATAAGTCTTATTATAGTAAATGCTAATATAATACACAGTCACCCAATTCGAGGTCGATTCACAAAATGAGCTGTGTCTTCAAAACACGTGCGATCATATTTTGTTCTTCAAACAAATCCCCTCTCCATTTTCCTCTACAACCCGTTTCCATCTTGTATCATTTTCGTTAAATATTAATATCCAATCAAATAAATAATACGAATTAATTTTATATTCTATTATAACAATTTCATCCACCAATTCTAAGTTTATGTCAATCAAAAATCATTCTTGTCGCAATTGAAATAAACGTCAATTCAATTCACTACTAAAATCGTCCTAATACATTTGAAATATGGAGTATTTTATAAAATTATTCCGCGAATTTATGAAATCGTCCGTCACTCGCCACTTAAAGTCGTAAACTCGAAGGAGACAATGTAAAAAAGTCGGAGATGTTTCAACAGGTTTAAAAAAAAGCAAAGTGTAGGACTCAACTCGCGAGTTTTCAACGCACTAATGACATCAACCAGTTCTATTGCAGCTTTTTTAAATAGGTGCATTGACAGTTTGACTAAACAAGGTGTTATATTTTTACAAGTACCCTTTAACCGCGACTTCTATTACTAAGATTTAAACTATTCCATTAATCTAAACAAGAACTGATCACTTTTCTGCGGAAATATTTTAGTCACAGTCATGGACATACCGATTAAGCACAGAGATACATAGAGAAGAGCTGAATGTCAAACTCAGCAGTATGCAATTAGGTATGTTCAGCAGTGGACATCAGGCTGATTATGATGATGATGATGACGTAGAGATAGACCGCCTTTACATTTAGAATTCCCTTGCCCTTATCAAAAAGTCAAGTCAAAATTTAAAAAGTCTTCACGCCTAAACTACAGAACCGATTTCTGTTAAATTTGGTACAGACATAGTTTGAAACTCGAGAAACGACAAAGGATAGTTTTTATATCAAAAATCTGCCGGAAGTCACTATTCCAAGCGAACGGAGTCGCGGTGAAAAGCTAGTTATATATAATTGTGTTGATTAAGAATCTGACTGTTAAAACGCAATGAACTAGATCATTTTATGATTATTTGTAAAAAAAACTGTACAGTCCCTTAGAATAAGAACCTCCATGGATTGTCCACCTTTGCATAGTAATCTGAATGTCATGTATGAACCTTTGACAATGACTCTGATCGGTAGGTAGATCTTTATGAAAATTAAATCTACGAAAGTAAAAAAAGTATTTAGTCTTTATTTTGGAAACTGCAAAAATATAATGGTATATTTTTAACGTTTAAATAACTTATACCTAGGCTCATTATCTTATAAAGAAGGTAGGAGGTATTTTTTTCAAATCGAATTGTCTTTTTTTTTTTTTAAATCGTTTAGCAACCTAAACACGTTGGTATTTTTCAGATTAGTATTAAGTAGAAAGGTTATTCATTTTTTTTTCAATTACACTTAATTCAAATTAAGAAAACTCGCATTTTCTAAATTTAAAATTTAATTCTTACTTAAATCTACATTTCAGCAACCAACGGGTTACTTTTTTATTAAAACGTTCGTTATACGTGTTACATATAGATAATTGCATATAATTCTCCAATTAATATAACATTTTCCTCAATTAAAAATTTCTTGGAAAATTTGTCGATCCCATATCAGTTAATTTATACGTTTTCAAATATATATTTTTCAAACTTTTAATTACAGTTATACCTTAACGAACACGTGAATATTTTAAATTTTCGTTTAATTTTGTTATTGAAATACGACGTATACATTTATTATAATGTAAGATACAAATAGGATCTTAAACCCATCTGCGTAACCTGGCAAATGGCAAACTATTATAATTAAGTTAGAGGAAGCGCATACTGCGGACTGTCAGGGCCTAATGACGATGAAGATGAAGGTAGAAATGGAAATAGATAGTATAAGTGAGTATATTACAAAAAAAAATTTACCTGCATTTTAAATCTTAAACGAATAAATTTAACATTTAATTTCCATACATTGATTATGTTCGCCTAATTGAGATCAATTGGTGATAAGCAAAACATTGTAAAGGCCATTGTATTTGTCGCCTAGCATATGCATGACTTGGAAACCATCAAGGTAGGCACAGTTTTTGTACACGTGCCTGGGTTTTATATAGGCAGCAAAGGAGCAGACGAGATTACGTGTTGTTAAGCAGTGGGCGAGGTGCCACCACCAAACACATCAGAAGAAAAAATTGCGTTGAGGGTTTTTGGTAGAAATAATGAAGTTTTTTTGATGAAGGATGGGGGGTAGAGGAAGAAGTATTCTGGTTTTTTTGTGATAGTTCGGCAAACAGGAAAACTGATGGTAAGCAATCAACGTCGCCCATGAACACTCGCAACGACGTAGGAGTAACTAAGTAATGTGTTGCCGACCTTTTACAACGCTGTGGTTTTTCACGCCGTTTTTCTATGAGGCCGTGGTATCAATCTTGTCGAGCCGAGGCATGGCTCTCCTACAGATTCATTTATTTAATTAATCCTTTTTCATGATACATTTACAATATTTGATAAACGCTCGTAGACTAGACTCATAGTCTAATTAGACATAGATGGAACCCAATTTTCGTAAATGTATCAACTAGTTTTAACATTTTAGGACAGGGTGATGTCAACGGCTCCTCAAGTTGGTGCTAACGTTGGATCCAAGCATCCAAGATTACTCGTCAAAACCATTATACAAAGATTGTACAAAAACAAAAAGTATTTATAGAAAATACCAATACTACAAATGTTTGTAAAGAAGCGTTAGTGCCAACCCCTGGGCCAGCATATGAAGCGGACGTTAACATTGTAGTGACCGCCTCTCAACGCAGGTCAAAGATGCTTTGATAAATTTAGCCTTAGTACGGATATTCACAATACTGAACCAAATTTTTTTTTGGTCGTTAGAGCATTTGCTCATCGCGATAGGTCGATTTCGATTCACTTTTTATTTTTTTTTATTTTTAAGAGGTGACGACTCCATACCGTTCACACACCATATGACACCGATCGCGGATCCACGCGACACAATGTGTTTTCTATTGTTTGTCAGACAAGAGGTTGAAAAGTCATTGTCGAGGTTTATAGATATACAATCAATAGTTACAAACAATAATAGTTTATACATATCAATACAATATACCCTAATATATCCCTAATCATTGTATTGATTGCATCATTGATTTTAAATAGCAAATCAAAGTATATATAACAAATACTAGCTTTTGCCAGCAACTTTGTTCGCGTGGAATAGTGACTGCCGGCAGATTTTTGGTTTAAAACTACCCTGTGACCTTCCTCGAGTTCCAAACTATGTCTGTACCAAATTTCACAAAAATAGGTTTAGTAGTTTAGGCGTGAAGAAAAGACAGACAGACAGACAGAGTTACTTTCGCATTTATAATATGAGTTTAGATGAAGGCAAAAGATACTTTACTGTTTCTTTATTTTTATTATTAACAAAAAATAAACATTATGATGTTTGCTGGTTTGACATTGTTGTCTGAGTAACATTTAATGTTTTAGTAACGCTTAAATTAGGAACCTTAAACATTTTATTATTTAAGTTCGGTGTTTATGTGCCGTTACGAGCTTAAGTTCTTCTTTTGTTAATAAAGTATCTTATTTCATTTATTTATACCGTTTAAAGGTACCGGCAAGCGCAGCGTCGGACTTCCACCCGCAAGGTGGACAGACGATCTGATTAAGGTCGCAGGAAGCCGCTGGATGCAGGTCGCTACCAACCGACCTATCTCGAAGTCACCGGGGGAGGCCTATGTTCAACAATGGACGTCCTGTGGCTGATATGATGATGATGATAATGATGAAAGGGTTCGCCATTCAGCAGTGGAGTCATACAATTTCCACAGGTCCTATACTAAATGCTATGGTAACCTGAAAAAAAAAACCCACATTGTTTCTTGTCGTCGCATTATAGAAATTATTATAACCAATATCCATGATTACAATAACATGTCAAATGATTTCTTTGATCTTAGCTACTTATCACTAACGGACTCTTTGCCAGAGTCTGGTTTTCGAATTGTATCACCAAATTGGAGTGGGATGATGATCGATGTTTTTCATATCTTGGAGTGTGTTCGGAATGAAAATATCGGAATGAAAATATCAGAGTGTAAATGTCTCAATACACTAAACATAGTGTAGTATTGGCATTATTAACCTTGCTCAGTGTGAGATGTAACAAAAATGAAATTCCAATTTAATAATAATATGTAAATTAGATAAATTGTGTTCGGTGGGTTTATACCATTTGTATTTCTTCCGGCATTAGTCGGTGTGCTTTCAGAGTCAAGGCCAATAAAACATAGTTTTCTAAAATACAGTTTAGTTTGTATGTAAGTATAGAATGTAGAAAATCTAATAAATTATTAGGTACCTACCACACGACACAATAACATAATTACCAACTTGACATATAATCACTGTAAAAAGGTTCATTCCAATGCTACGAATTTGACCTTTTAACTATAACGTATAAATTTTATATAGATTACTCACAAACTTAATAGGAATTTCATCGAAACCTATAAATGGATACCGGCGAACCCAAATGCATTAATAACCTTCATATATAGCCTGTCGGGTTTCCCAGTATCCGGTAACAAGTTAACTCAATTTTCTTAGTCACTAGTTGTGGCCATATTTATTTTAAACTCGCACGAAATAAAATGAAATGCAGCGCTTAAAACGCGGCCATTAAAAATATTAATGTGTATTCGAAATTTAAATAGTGTGAATCATCGCATGTGACGGTGTTAATAACATTTTTTTTGTTTACCGTACTGATTGCTTTTTGTTTTATGTCTAGATTCTTTTTTTAAGGGAAGCTTAACTAATAACATTTTTATAGGAAACTAGCAGATCGCCCCTGCTTCGCACGGGTCTCATCATCTCGCTAACGATGAAAAAGAATTTCTTTTATAAGAACCTTCTCCTGACAATAGCACACAACATAACAAAAAAAGAATCAGTAGAATTGGTCCAGGCTTCATTGAGTTATGCGCTTACCGACATATTTTGCGTTTCATTTTTTTTTATATACTAGCGGCCCGCCCCCGCCTCGCACGGGTCCAACTATCTCGCTTTTTACTTTCACGGGTCACTTTTTCCTAATCTACCCTCTTCTTTTCTAATATTTTATTTGATAAGAACCTTCTCCTGACAATAACAAACAACAAAAAAGACTTAGCGAAATTGGTCCAGGCGTTGTTGAGTTATGCGCTTACCAACACATTTTGCGATCCATTTTTATATATAAGATATATAGATGATATATCACTTGGTAAGTACCACGGCCTCACAGAATATAGATGTGAAAAAACCTTTGCTTCGTTTTGAGTCGTGGGAGTGAGGTTACAGGTAAAGCCAGTGTACCGTCTGCTTGGTTGCCGGGGATTTGCGAATCGTGTAAATGCTAAAAGTATGTAATTTTTTTATTATGGTAAAGTATCCTTCCCTTCCCGGAATCCCTAAAAATACCCAAAAGGTCAGCAAAGCAAGGCTTTGTTATTGTGGGTGTCCATTGACGGTACTGATTGCTTACCATCAGGGAATCAGTCGGCTCGTTCTTCGTCCTGTCACATAAAAAAATATTCTGCATTGACCAATATTGGGGCGTCAGAAAACCGGAATCGTTGTAACCTTAATGGATTATATTATACCGATTGAAAAACTTAAAAGGTCCTTTCGAGATTTTATGCTTGGAAGTTATACGAGTAGTTCCATCTTGTAATGTACCGGTAAATTTGTATATTTAGATTGTTAAAAATACATAAAAGTTTTGAATTGTTTCTTGAAGTTTTTTCGATAATATATTGGTAAAGGTCTTAAACGAAATAACGAGGATATCACGTTGCTCTTCCGTTGTTATTGGCTACCTTTCATTTTTTTTTTCACTCTGCCTTTTTTGACTACATACGACCAAGCTATTAAAATTTCAAAAGCGGTTACATCTTCACATTTGGAAATATTTAATTATACATGAACTCAAGCCCCGCAATTACTTATTTAGTCTGGGATTCATCCCAAAACCCGAAAATAATTCGCATACAAGGACCACGTCATTCGAGCTGTCAGTCTTCTGGATTTGTACTGAAAAGGGTTTTCAAGAACATGTTTTTTTCATACAAATACAAAAACTGTGTCGCATATTCTTAGCAAAGTGTAAAATGTTAATTCTATTTATGTATTAATGTTGTCGTGTTTCAGTAGATATTGATTTTTATGTATATCGATAATCTTCTTTATATATAAAAATTTCGTGTCTCATGTTTGTCCGCGATATACTCCTAAACTACTAAACCGATTTTACATTAGATTTACATGCCTTGTGCATTTTGTTCCAACTTGAAAGATAGGATAGTTTACATCTCAATTTATAGTCACAATATTATTTACCTTAGCCACAGCAACACGTGGCTGGGTCTGCTAGTAAATTATATGGGGTAACTAAATATATTAATGTAGGTAGGTACCCACATAGTACAATAAATAAGTCGATTTATTAACTTCCGAACTACACTATTTGTCTTTATACAGTTATAGCAGAGAAGCCCAGGATGCTTATTTTCTGGTACTTAAGCGTTTATCATCAGTCATATCAGGGACCTACAGGATTTTGAAGATTTGGAGATAAAAGGAAAAATGGTTTAAGGACATTTTCTTCCTCCGGTAGTAAAAAATGGAACCGCTAGAACTCCAAAATTGTAATAGAAGCGTAACTTTTTAGTCCACGAACATGACAAGATCTTTAGTTTTCCCTCCATCCAAAACGGTTAAGCGGTGACCGACTGAGTTGGTAGAACCGGGACCCCTTCAAAACCCCCCACTGTTTTTTTTTTTTTTTTTTTTGTCAGGGGAAAATCATCCAATGACTTCTCCCGCCCAGGGTAAGGCGAGAGAGAGTGTCAGACTCTTACTGACTAAAAACCCCCCCGTTCCTTCTCCTGCTCTGGGCCGAGGTCGCGGTGCCTCATTGCGCTTACCCCGCAGCCCCGGCCCCACTGTTGAACTCGTAAATCATGATAAAGATTTTTCACGGCACATTTTTTAAGATCTCGCAATATCTTGTATCCTCAATCTAAAACGAAACCTGTCTCTGGTTGGTATTTTTTTTATAATTTAAAAAAAGTTACTAATGCCAATTTAAATAAAAACCAAGAAAAGTTATATTCACTTTGACTGATAAAGATGCGTATATCAATGAGCAATGATAACCACGCATCTGAAGCTGAGTTGTTAAAGCCGTGTTGAACGTTATACAAAAACGTCGTCAGTTAAGTATTATTAGATTTCATGTTATTGATAAATTTATAAACCTTATAAAATAGCTTTATCTACAAGGACTTAATTAACTCTGTGTTTAAGTATATTAGTGCTCTCTCTTTCTAATATCAGCTTTGGTAGATGATTGTAAAACCATGACGCCATACAGAGTACGCTAATTTTCTTCAGTGCACTTTTGTGTTGAGGACAGTTAATTTTCAGATTGTGTCGTTTGCTTATAATTTTCGTACATCGTTAAAAAATATTAAAATAAAACGAAATATTTCATTGTCAAAAATATTTTAAGTTATAATTATTTCAGTCCTATTATAAAATTAAAATAATAAATTAATTGGTTTGCGTTTGCGGGACGCCGTCAACGGTTGGTGGCGGGGTGGGGCAGGGCGATGACCTTTGAAGGTTCACAGCTGAAATAAAAAGAAACATACAATAAATAATACAACAAATAAAATACATCAGTCAACAAAGCCTTAGTTCCAAATTCCACAACTATTTTAAAAACGAGAAAGTTTGTAAGTATGAATGCATGAATCATGTAAAACTACAAAACAAATCTGCATAAAATTCAACATGAGACGGACAACGTTCATAACACCCTAGAATAACACATAGTCATTTTGATACGGTACTGCCTAACACTAAATTCAAATTCTTTATTTGCATGTTAAGGTGGGTACAAGGATCTTAAATTAAAATAACAGGCACAGCTTAACGGCCTTTTTCAGGCGTTGCAAAGAGGGCTATTACTAGCTTATAAGATAATATTAAATTACTTAATTTACATCACATTGCATAAAAGTGAAACTACAGGGAAACACGGGAAGACACACAAGTTAAGTATAAATAGTCATTTATAAATAATATACATCTATAACAAGAAAAACCAATTAGTTTAAGTGTTTGGTCTATGTAACATTGTAAGAACATATTAAATTATTATTTACACTAAATAAATATCTTGGTATATTTCTATTTTCCTTATTATTATATCCTTGGCAACAATTGGTCGGTTTACTACAAGTCATTTGTAATTAAAGTTACATAGTTTATGGTCGTAACTAATGATTGATTGGAAGATGAGTTGAGCTCATAATTGTACATATTCCGCCGTACTCCGAAACCTTTAATGATGATTTAACCCAGTCCTAGGCGCCACCGTAAGCGCGGGGCTGCGGACGGCGAGTAAGAGCAACTCGCTGCCCGACCAGAACCAGACCCGTGCGTACGGCGCGTAGCGTTCCGCACGCGCCTCAAATAGCCAATAGACCACCACAGACGAGGGGCCCTATAGGGCTGATGTTAGCCCAGGTTGCGGGGTAAGTGCAATGAGGCACCGCGACCTCGGCCCAGAGCAGGAGACGGAACAGCATGGTTTTTTGTGTCTGTAAGAGTCTGACACTTCCTCTCGCCCTATCCAGGGCGTAAGAAGTCATTTTATGATTATCCCCAGTCAAAAAAGTCATGGTTAAGTAACCGTTGAATGTATCCAACTACGGTAGTAATCATGTATCACTCAAAACATTATATCACACTTTATGGAAGATTAAAATATAACGTTTAAGGTTTGGCTACTAAAATTAAATTTTGTTTAATGCTCTGCTAGTTTTGTACGAGCTTATGACTTGTTGAACCGTTTTGACTTGAAACTACTAATTTCAATAAATTTATTAATAAGTGTCATGAGTTCATGACAGTTAGCAAACAAACAGATTTAGTATTGAGAAAAGCCGTAAAAATGAAATTAAAGAATTACTCATTAGACTGTTCAAAATAGTTGACTAATCTCTTTAACATTGATCGATATTCTAGGCCGCAATGCAATGAGATCACTTAGAAAATCCCAGACAAATCACACACCCACGTCAGATCACTATAAGGTCAGATCATGACGTTTAAACAATTCAATTCATTAAAAATAAAGTAAATCTTTGTCACCAGTAATTCACAAGGTCTTTAAAAATAAGTAAGGACCGATTACAAAACACAAAACCAATATTTTACCTGTATTTTCAAGGAAAATATTTCAACGTCGAATGTCAAGAATACCGGATTTTGATAAGTAAAATGTGATGATATTTAATTTCGGGGCTTATTACAAGTTTACCTGTTGTTTCGATCGATAACTTATTATTTTCCTTGTTAAATAACATTTGGCCAAAGCGAGAGAGATGCCCATGAGACTATTTTCAATTAATTCTGACCTAGGTGCCAATTCTGACGGGGAATCTAATTCTTACAAATGATGTGCTTTCAATTTGGGGTCTTACTTTGACTGGGATCTTATGCTGTCTAGGGATAGCCCAGTCAGGTCCCAATCAGGTCCTAACCTAACCATAAAGACAGTCTCGAATTTATCTCAATAGCTTTGTCTATAACTAAATGTATTATTTAATTTATCTCAAAAAGTTTGAAATACTTACAAACGCCACACATTTGGGCACAGGTCAACCTGCCAGGGTTGGTGTAAGTGACACCGTCGGATCCACAGACAGGGTTGTATTCAGCTGTCACAGGACAAGAGCTGATGCATTGACGCTGAGATGGCGACATAGTTGTGGTGCTGGAATGACAATTATTTTTTATTTGTAATACAATTTATACAATTTATATCCCTTCTTCTCCCCAGGCAAAGTGGCTCCATGAGGATTTTTCACCTTGGGGCAAAAAAGCTGAGTTATGCGATTACCAACACATTTTGCGATTTCATTTTATTTTCGATTTTACTTTAAAATAATATAGTATTTCAAAATTGAACCCTATTATTGAAACGTAAGTTTTAAGATTAAAATACCTTATTTTTTGAGTTAAGCCTAATTTCTATTAAGCATAGGATATATGGATAGATAGATACGTAGATAATCAGAATTAAGAGTGAGTAATATTAATAATGTAAGTACACATTCGTAACTACATTATTTGGTAACAATATATTTAATTGTCATCGATGTACGACCTAAATAGATAATATCGATTGATGTGCGTCATTACCAATGCCACATAGATCTAATAGTTCAGTTGTATAAAAATGGGTCAAGTAAAACTTATCAATTCCAAGCAAAATACACAATATTACATGTAAACCTGCTTGTTTCAATAGTGTGCATACAAAACTATCCATTAACAAAATACAAATAAAGTTCTTATTTTTACTCACCTACTGGAAGATGTAGTTGTTTGTGGTCTCTGAGTTGTAAATCCGGGGAACTGGTTCTGACCTGGGAATTGATTCTGTCCGGGGAATTGGTTCTGACCCGGGAACTGATTCTGACCTGGGAACTGATTCTGACCGGGGAATTGATTCTGACCTGGGAATTGGTTCTGACCTGGGAACTGGTTCTGACCTGGGAACTGGTTCTGACCTGGCAATTGGTTCTGACCTGGGAACTGGCCAGGAAATTGATTTTGTCCAGGGAACTGATTCTGGCCAGGGAATTGAGGCAGTGGGTTTGGCCTTTGCTGGCCTGGGAACCAATTTTGGAAACCGTATCTATCTTCTAAGTCATCTGGATTTTGTACGTCTTGTCCCAGAGCGGATGCGAAAAGAGCTGTAAGGAAAAAAAAGTTTTTTAAAAACCAGAAGACCTATGAAGATTGAGCTTAGTTTAACTCGGAAGCTCTTGAAAAGTGATATTTACAGGACTGCGATAGTTTTTTAGTCATATTTTTAGTAATTTTTCTAACCTTTCTAATAAAGATTTATATACAAAACAATCTTTTTAACATTGTATTTTAATCTTTAGATTATTATTACTCCTTAATGATGTCAACGTTATTTATACCTATATTAGCATTAGTATCCATGTAAATGTTTTTATGTATTAGTACATAAGTTATTATTATAATATTGTCCAGAAGTAGGAAAAGAAGATAAATGAATATTACGAGTCATCTAAATTAATGAACACGACCGTTATACTATTGAGCGTCATAAATAGAAGTAGTTCGGGAAACCCCAAACAGAATTGTTTTTAATGTTTAACTAAATGAGCTCATTGAAAAGAGCCAGAGAATCTATTCATATGCTTACAAAAGTTCTTGTATTTTATCGTCAAGTTTCTTTTGTTCTTTCACATCTGGATTTAAAATCTAGCAAATACTACTTTTCTTAATACCTACATAAAGCTTGATAAATTGATGAAACTGATTAATTTTCGAATTAGGAGTAAACTAATGCCAAAATTTTCATCTCTGTCTCAAATGCTTGAAAAATTCTAACGGGAAATGCCAATATTTATCGCGATAATTGATGATATTAAATAATGAAAAATATACATTAAATCATTTATTTAGGAATCAAATTACACCTACTAACCTTCCCGTTCGTGTGGCCCAAGCCTAAAGCAGAAGTGTTATATTCGGAATGTTCTTTCTAAAAAGCTCTTTTCCTTTTTATAATTAATCGATATGTATTTAGATTCGTTACTACGAGTAAACTGACAGACAAAATGTAAATAAACATTGCGGTTTTTACATAAAACACTTCTACTGAACTGTTCGCAAAAAATAATAATAAAAAACTTGTAAAACTACAAAACTGACGTTTGCGTGCTACCTGCGTCTGCGGATTAATAAATTATATGAACATTCAAAAACGTGCTTCAGCTTTAATTTAAATAAGAACCAGTTTCGCAAAATCTAGTTTTCATTACTTATTTAGTCCAAAACATAAATTAGCATAAAATTTTGGCCAAATAACACGTTTTCGTGTTTATGGATCACGATTAAGTATGCAGATTTAAAAGTAGGGTACAATTGGATGATTATTACCAAAAAAAGGCTTCCTTTAAAACTATAATATTTGGGCGTTTGTAGGTATTTTACCAAAGGAGATTATTTTTCCTATCAGGTGTGACCCTAGGCTTATCTAAGATCAAATACGGAACGTTAAACAAAAGAGGTTAGAAACAAATAATTATGTAAAAACAAAAACTTACCAATTACGAAAAAAAGGCACAGCTTCTCCATGTTTTTTAAGATGATTATTATGTTACGTTGATAGCAGAGTGTTAAATTTTTTGTCGTATAAGTACAACGCTCGAGACGCTTGTCGGCCACTGACTGTCCACTAGGAGACACCGGTTTTGTTTATAAACTCTTGCGCATACGACCAACGTATGCGTCCGAGAATTAGTGCTGGGGTACAGTTACACGATGTGATTTTCCAATTCCCTGTGACGTTTTTCCTTATAATTATTGAACAGATGTAAATGAGGAAAAGTTAATTGTTATCTTTAAATGAGTAATCTTTCTTATTAAGTTGTTTATGGATTTTAAATATGTCTGTCACGATAAAATTGATATATTGAATACAAGAAGCTATCAATTGTTGAAAGTATTGTCACCTATTTATTTAATGAACTTAATATAAGCAGTTTCATATTAGAAATTGGAGTTTTAATTTAGATATTGTCCTAAAACCAGCGAGGCGAGGGTTGACGTGTATTTAACGAACCTACTTGCGAATAAGTTTTTTTTTCGGGTAACCGAATTAATTCTATTTTTAAATATCTATTCAAATACCTTTACTGAAAACCGTATCGTACTTAACCAATCAACGGGTCTTGGGTTGTATTCATCAATAGGGCAAACCTCGCTTGTTTTTTGTCGGTTTTTAGGAATTTTGTCAGGAACACCAAGGACTCTGGTGTATTGTGTCTAATACTTAATACAAGGACTTTAGAACATAACTGGTGGAGACTGGCCTTTACTTTATAAATACTCCATGAGGATTTTTTAACATTTTTATTCAGAGGTATTACTTATACTAAATCAAAATACGAGCGTTACTCGAACCGGAGTGTTGCTAGTGTAAGCTCAATAATATACCGAGACCTAGATCGAAGCAGGAATAGGAACGGGATGCAGGGGAATGATTTGGATGGATTTCTCCTCTCGAGTAATAAAAACATTACTGCTTCAACTCCATACCTCCCCAATCCATTAATCTCTGAAACCCCAAAAGGCCGGTGACGCAGTCATAACTCCTCTGGTGTTGCGGGTGTCTATGAGCGGCGTCGATTGCTTACCATCAGGTTATACTAACTCTTTTGACTATCACATAAAAAAACTTAAAAAGAATCGATTTATCGACAATTTCTCAACACTAAGGTGTAAATTAATGGTGGCTTTGACAGTTGTGTTCAAGAATTCCCGAGAGCAATTTTCCTTCAAAGGGGGATGAACCTTTGAATTGCTACGCGCGTATGCATCAGACCAGATCCTAAACTGGTTGGACTGCTATATAGGTAAAGAATATTTAAATAAAATGTATATCAAGAGCATACCTCTTCTGATTTAAAAATTTTACCCGTATTGTAAACCTCCTTGTTTTATATATCAGCTAAAGTTGCCAATCTAATTAAATGTTTTATTTTACTGAAACGCACATACTAGTGTTTTTTTTTTAAATACAAATTGGGGTAAAAAAAATAGAATAGAAACTGCCACACGATGTGCAGCAGCCACTGCGACAACCGTTGTAATCTAAGACTTTTTTGAGGTAGGAAAATCCTTAAATTACTCTCCCTAGGTTAGGTGAACGGGATTTTCAGACTCGGAATAAAACTCACCTCCATTCCTTCACCTTTTCTGACAGGTCGTGGTAATAATTGTCCAGTCAAGAAAACTATTGTGTATTAAATTATTTATCTGATGTCAATACATTACAAAATTACAAAAATGCACTTACATTTTGTAATGTTTTGACATCAGGACGAAAGAGAGGTGTTAAGCATGCATGCAATTCGTTTGTAGGTACTTATCAAAAAATATGTAATATCGTATCAAAAATTAAAATACCTACCTACCCACTTTATGTAATAAACAAGGAAAATAACAAAAGAAATATTTTATTATGGATTTTAAAATTTTAAACGAGTTTTTTTTTTATTTGTCATTCTCTTTTGACATTATGCAGGTATATGGCAGGATATTAGGTGTAGAGCGCCACATTGTTACTAACTAGTTAAAACACTCCATTTTAACTAATGCCGAGCCGAGCCTATAGCCTTTGAGGTGAGAAATTCATGAAATGCCTCCTTCAGCCTTAGATGAGTCTAAAGGTACCCAAGTGGCACATTATTGCTGACTAAAACCACTCCGTTCTGCCTCCTGTTCTGAGGCTGTATGCTCTTAACTGACTAGGAACACTACAAAAAATCTTACTTTTTTTATGGTAGAGGGTATATAAGTCGGCAAACGAGCAGACGGATTAGGCATTAGTCAAATGTTTGTGTACCGGGCTATTAATAGGTACCTACAATGAGACCTCCTCTGTTCGTGACAGAAAAACATCTGGCCGTCCACGTAGTGTTCGTACGAAAAAGGTGGTCAAAGCAGTAAGGGAAAGAATTCGAAGAAATCCTGTCCGAAAGCAAAAGATTTTATCTCGGGAGATGAAGATAGCACCTAGAACCATATCGCGTATTTTAAAAGACGACTTAGGACTTGCAGCCTATAAGAGACGCACTGGATATTTTTTAAATGATAATTTAAAAAAGAATAGGGTGATAAAATCTAAACAACTACTGAAGCGGTACGCAAACGGAGGTCACAGAAAAATTTTGTTTACGGATGAGAAATTTTTTACAGTTGAGCAACATTTTAACAAACAAAATGACCGTATTTATGCTCAAAGCTCTAAGGAAGCTTCTCAATTAGTCGACAGAGTGCAACGTGGGCATTATCGGACTTCAGTGATGGTTTGGTGGGGTGTTAGCTATGAAGGAGTGACTGAGCCATACTTTTGCGAAAAAGGTATCAAAACATCGGCACAAGTGTATCAAAATACCATTCTTGAGAAGGTAGTTAAGCCCCTTAACAACACCTTGTTCAATAACCAACAATGGTCCTTCCAGCAAGACTCGGCGCCGAGTCATAAACTCATAAAGCTTGGTCCACGCAGTGGACATAGCTGGATTATGATTTATGGTCAGTTTTAGAGAGTAGGGCTTGCTCTAAGCGTCATGATAATTTGGACTCCCTAAAACAATCCATACGATTGGCACTGAAGAATTTTCCCATGGAAAGAGTGCGCGCTTCTATTGAGAACTGGCCTCAACGTTTAAAGGACTGTATTGCAGCCAATGGAGACCACTTCGAATAAGCTTTTTATGTTTTAAATTGTTTTATATTTATGTATTAAACTTACATACTATAAAAGTAATAAATGTTATTTGCAACAGATAAACTATTAACTAAAATTCGCGGGTTACTCACGTGTAAATGTTTAGAAAAGCTCTACTAGTTTCGAACCACAGAGGGGTTCTTCCTCATGAGCAGCGTGCGCGGACGCGGCGACGTCGCGCAGCCTACTGAGCCCAGTAGTAGAGCTTTTCTCAACATTTACACGTGAGTAACCCGCGAATTTTAGTTAATTTAGTATGTCTCACGATAGTTATTATAAAAACACAGATAAACTATTTTTTTTATTTGTTACAGTATTTATGGCTAGACTAGGTAGATTTGCTTTTATGGGATAACACTGCAAATGCCCATTTGCATACCGATCACCTGACGTTAAGCAATCGACGGCAACCATGGACGCCTGCAACACTAGAAGAGTTACAAGTGCAATGCTGATCTTTAAGGGATTAGAGATTTTAGTTGTGTGATTTGGAGATTGGGGATGGGCGGATGATTGGACCTTTTGAAAGGGCAAGACATGACACAAGCATTGTTTCCGTCACATGAGCAGTATCCTTGACAATGTCTAAGTACAATAATTACTAACACCCCTGATTGCCTCTACTGGTACAACAAACGTGATATCACCATTAGAAAAACAGGATCTTCGTGAAACATTTTTCATTAATCTGTAATTTTGTTCACACATAATCATTGTTTACTTCGATATCGAACACATAAAGTGTACTTAAATAAATCGATGCTTAGCAGTAATTGCAAAAACAAAACCATTTAATAAACACTTTTAACAGAAAACATTTATTTATTTTTTATTTATTTATTTCCTCAATCAAATCTATTGTTAGGTATAATGTATAGGTTCTTAACTATTTTACTACGTTATATACAAACCGCAATTACGTCTTGAACCGTCAATCATACAACCGACTTACGTACTATTTATAAATGTATATAAAAGCAAAATATAATGTTACACACAGGTATCTGCCACCGACTCGGCGACGACGCCCGCGGTACCTGTCAAGGTAAAAAGTTTGGGTTTTTTTACCAATTCAAAAACTTTTATGCTATTCAGTCTATTAGTTTTTAAATAAAACAATAACAAATATTTCCTTTTTTTTATTAATTTACATAAAATACAAATAAATAAACTCTCGGCCGACCGGAGTGACACCACAGCCTCACAGAAAACCGGCGTGAAACAACCACATCGTTGTGTTTCGCCGTATAAGTGAGGTTACCCGAGGCCTAATCCTTCCCCTGCCCAAATCCCTCCCCAATCCCTAAATCTCCCAAATCACTAACCCCCAAAAGGTCGGCAACGCACTCGTAACTCCTCTGTTGTTGCGGGTGTCCATGGGCGGCGCAGATTGCTCGTTTGCCGACCTATCACATAAAAAAACTATTATTTAGCAAGGCTATAGGATACAACATGGCTAATAATCCCTTCTTAATGGACAAGCGGAACAAACTTTTAACTAAAATTAAAAAAATAAGATATAAAAAAACATCCATACATATACGTAAATAAACCTATGCATTTATAACCTTGTAGTACTTTAAAGCAAGCAAGCAAGCAGTATATTCCAATCATCATCATAATCTTGATCCGCATATCCATTGTTAGACTAAGGCCCTTCTCTCCACATAAAACAGCTTTTGCTATACCTATTTTCGGCAGGTAACTTGTAAAAGTTCAGGTTTGTCTGAAAGCGCTGCTACAAGTCCGTACCGAAATATATTTTTTTATTACAAATGTCGGCAAACAAGCCCTTGAATTATCAGGTGGTAAGAAATTAGTGCCGCCGAATTACACTCGTATTACTAAAGGTGTTACTTCAATTGCATTTACTTGTAAATGTAATTTATTTGAGGATTGAAAGGGGAAAGAAGGAATTGTTTTTTTTTTCGTTAGGGTAAAATCATCAAATGACTTCTCCCGCCCAGGGCCGGGCGAAAGGGAGTGTCAGACTCTTACTGACCAAAAACCCCCCTGTTCCTTCTCCTGCTTTCGCTTACCCCGCAACCCCGGCTGAACATCAGCCCTATAGGGCCCCGTCTGTGGTGGTCTATAGGCTCTTTGAGGCGCGCGCGGAACGCTACGCGCCGTACGCTCGGGCCTGGTTCTGGTCGGGCGGCGAGCTGCCCTTACTCGCCGACCGCAGACCGAAGGAATTGGTTCTCCGGCACTTACACTGCAAAGTACAACGTAAGTTGCTTCACTTCGGTTTTCTGTGAGGACGTGGTATCACTCCTGTCGAGCCAGCCCATTTGTGCCGAAGCATCATCTCCCACTAACTACCGTGGTTCTTCAGTCGGGTCTTACGACACCTACTACAAGATTTAAGATGGTCTGGATCAAATGCCTTGTTGTAAATCATGTTGGTTTAAGAAAAATAAGCGGCTTACGAGTTACAGGTAACCCATACAATAATACTAGCAAAAGTTATTATTGATTTTATTTAATTACTTAGTTCTGGAGCTGGAATTTTTACAATTTATAAGGTAAAAATGTTTATTTTTATACTTACTTAAATCTGTCATTACAGGATTACCAAATATAGGCCTTAAATATGCCTTAAAATTTAATTTACTAACAAAATTAAATGAGATGTTGGATACAACAACTGAAAAGAATGAAACATATTTTTCAGTATAAAATGTGTAAGACTACCCTTTCATGTTTGAATCCAATCCTATAGTTTTGTTTTTTGAGGAGGGACATCGTCAAATGATTTCTCTCTTCTCTCGCCGCCGCCATTTTTAGCCCCTACCATGATATTTTTTTAATTATTATTGAAAGTGTTCTCTGGGAAACAATACAGAGTGCAAACGCCTTGCTAAAGCCCTTTAAACAGTAGCCGTGTCAGATACATAAAGGTGTTAACCTTACATTATTTTATCATAACATATAACATAGTGCCTATACATACACGCTGTATATATGTATATCTGTGACGTCAATGAACATGATTCGCTAGCTATGTATCGATGTCTCAGTAACAGTTGACCTCTAGCCTATGTAATTATTATCACATATATATTAGCACATTTTCATTACTTTTTAATATTCTTAGAGTAACTTTATATTGTTTTTCTTTTATTCTAAGTTTAGTATTCAGTAACTATTCTAATTGTCCGAGTAATAGTGTTAATAAGTGATATTTTAGTCATATGAATGAGATATTTCGGTTTGTTTACATAGACATGTGAAGAATAATTTACACATTCTACAAACAAATGTTTTTTTTTTATCTAATACGCATCACGCAAATGTTCTTTATTATTTATTAATACATATATATCTTCTATATTTTATACCTTAAAATAGTGAAAACATTTAAGAATAAAAAGCCAACCTTGTTGTACATTGCATTACACATATATCACAAAAAAAGAGAAAAATCAGGACATTCCAAAGCGTTAGCGCGTATATTTAAAGCTTATTTCGATTCGCTTTTATTATTAAATGCAACGTAAAAAAAATACAAAAGTGTGGATGATGACTAACAAGACATAATAAGGTGGAATGGAATGAAATGGAATAGAATAAATAATGGACATAGGAGATTGTTGTTCCCATATACATTATAAATAATAAATAAAATAAAATAGCCATTATATAAAAAGAAATAAATATTTTATTACAAATATTAGGACCTGTATATCCAGAACGCAGAACTTGTCTTGACAATCTTAAGCTAATAACTAATTAGCATAATAAACATTTAAGAGTTAATAGTAAATGTATGTTCTTTTAATAGAAACTGGTCTCTGAAAATATCCAACACAACATATAAAAGGTAAATGTTATCAAAATATTGTAGAGGAAGGAAATTTCGCAATTAATTTCGAAGACGTCATATTTTTTATTTACCAAATAAAATTAAATATAATATGTATTAAAAGCTTTTTTTCCTTCAAGAATAGTGTTTGTGGTTCATCCTCTTTTCGTCACAGACCAACTTTTTATTAAAATAATTTACTTTGTATAAAAAAGTTAGTAACAAGTAACAACAACTCTTAATTCACCAAACCCCAAGCTAACGCCGGCGTTGACGCACCTATTGTTTTTCTGTTGTGTCTTGAAATTCCACTGAAATTCAATGGAAAGGTTAAAAGGCCGAAAACGCACCTAAAATTATTCTGTTTTTGTGGGTGTCTAATTACTTACCAACAGAATATCAGTCTGTTCATTTACTATGCAATAAAAATTAAGTGCAAAGCAATAGTGCAGTGACAATATTACCTTCTGTGTCACGCCTTTGATTAACAACGAAAATTCAATACTGGAATTCCCCATGATCAATCATCACACCTTGTTCTTAAAACTATAGATAGGTAATAGGAATTCAATTTTATAAATAGAACGCTAATTAATTGATACATGACTATTCATTGTAGTCATGGCCAGTTAGGATACGGACAAATGCGATACTTTTTTCAAATAAAAAAAAAATGAAATCACGTGACCCCATACTTTTACGTCAAATAACAAAATTGTTTTTTTTTTATATAAAAATATGTATTAAGTCGTGTCGTGCAACATAAAAATTAAATGAAAGTGTGTGTGATAATGTTTTATGTATATTATGGTTTTTAAGTTCAATTGTTTTCTTTTACTAAGGAAATCACTTAATAGTCTGATACTTACAAAAAAATATTAGGATACAAATACCTATTATAACAAATTATGTAAATACATTACTTTGAAAGCTAGTATAATGTAATTAAAACTTGCCCAAATGTTTATCATATATTAAAATACCTGCTTATATGCTCACTTGCTTGCGAAAACGAAACAAAAAATCATATGACGTACATAATAGGTAAACGTCATAATCACAATAATTGTTTCTCCAAAATCGTGTCATGGCGTATGTAGCTATGAACGTCATTTGTTTTTTTTATTACTTGTCGAAAACTAGTTTGGTAGCAAAACTTCTTGAAATATTAATAGACATAGCACACACTGTGCTGCAAATAGGTAGTAGAAAAGCAAACAGTTTCAGTTATTTTCTTTTTAAAAAGCACACTGAAAAAGTAGATTTTTAATTGAAACCAATTACGTTACATTGCATTACATTTTTGTTGTAACAGATATAATTTTAAAAACATACATTTATTTTATCACAGTGTGTGAGTATGTGATTGTTAACCTAAAATGCTATAGTTGAAATCAGTATTTAATCTCAATTATGAGATTAAATACTCATTTATAATATAATTTCATTTTTGTACCAAATAGCATGATTGACATCAAATCTATTCATCATTCATCATCATCATCATCAGCCTATGAATGCCCACTGCTGAGCAAAGGCCTCTTCCCCATCATCATCATCATCATCAATCTATTTATCAAATACTGAATTTAGGCCTAAAACTGAATCACTATCATAGTTAATTATTGTCAGATACTCCTTTGTCAAAGTGAAGCCAATATATTCTTGACTGAGTCACCACCCAGATTAAAGAAACATACAAGAACTCAGTACCGATCATAGCCTGCCAACACTCGACCAATAAAACGACAGTATAATTAAATAACAATGTTTTTACACCATATTATGTATAGGTATGAATATTAATTAACGCCTTCCACAAACAATAAAAAAATAGAACATACATTTTTATGATATCAAAATGACTAAAATGTCAATTGTATTTAAACTATAAAATAAAATACACAAATAAAATAATTACAATTACAAAAAAAACTACAGCCAATCTACCTCTCAAAACAAATAATTAAAAATAAAAGATTAAAAAAAACAATCCTCGAAGTCGTTCCTTTATCTGTAGCGAAAGAATACTCGCTCTCATTTGAAAGTCGAAGCCGTTATCAGAGGTTCGTCCTCCGGCCGAGTCAGAGGTTATCGCTGCCACTACTGTCATCCCCCCTTCCGCCCATCCTGGAACAGTCACTGATGCACCAGTGAACAGATAAGTTCTATACAACGTCGCTTACAATTAAAAAAACAACAATTCAAATCTTCGAACACTTTTGACAGGCGTTCGATTTTTGCTTGCTACAGATAAAAAATAAAAGTAACTAAAGACGTTTTAATAATAGTAGTGTCGCGACAGTGGTGTCACCAATATTTGGACTCAATAAGTTGGAAATGTTAAACGGGAAGTTTTTGTTGTGTCTAGTTTTAGTTGCTGGTGAGTTATGTGTGTTGTTTTTTCTTTTTAATATAAAAAAAAAAAACAATTTTAATGTTTAAACTATTTTGTTGTTACTTTTTAAACAAATGAATGAGGAAAATAGTGTATTATCAGATCAGGTCTATGCCTATAAGTAATAATAGTTTCATGCATCTAAGTTACCTACAATATTATGAGGAAAACAGAAACGTTAATGCTCTTAATTTTATAACAAAAGGAAACAGAATCACAGAAGTACGTTAAGGACTTTTAATCGAGTGCATAATTTACTACGATTCAAAAATAATCTTAATCATTGTTTTATTTCTTTGTTTGAATTACGAAAGCATTTATTTATAGAACCACTATAATGCATGTTATGTATGTGCATACTTAAACAAAGCGATTTTTAACGCTATGTAAGTAGTCATTATTATTAGTATAGATTCATTGTTTGTTTACACAGAATACAGTTTATAGCTACTAAATTTTAATGCATCAGTTACAAAGTACCGCCTATATTCACTGTATAGAAATATCAAAAAGAATCTATTTACTACGAAGCAACACAAAGACGATTACTTGAAGCAGAAACGCGAGAAACATTAGACCGTTTGGCGGCTTGAGCCTAAGGTTATCGTAACACGCCCACCGAGGGCAGCGCACATTTATTATTAGCTGTGAGTAATCGATCATAGGGCAGACAAACGGACGACAGCAACTGCAATCACTTTTCACACATACATACAGGCCGTAAGAGTCCACAGATGCACCATAAACCTGCTCTTTTAAATAGGGCTACATCATAATCTGCATGCGGGTAGAAAGAAATTGTGTTAGCAAATTAACACTCATAAAAGTTTGCGTATACACATATAAAAGCAATATACGACTAAAGTAACAAACAGTGTGCAACAAACAATGAATAAGTAACAAACTCAAAACAGTGTGTCCAACAGTCCAGCTTGATATCAGGCTTATGACGCCAACGCTAATTTTCGACTGTAATTCTGTAATAAATATAATGGGTAGGAGATTGCAATGTTAAAGGTTCTGGTT